GTTGTTGATTGTTTCATGTGTCTTCTCTAGTTGTCCCTTTTTTATTATGACGAAGGTGACATCTACATACCAGATCCATACTTTTGGTCATATGTGTGGAAATGCCATAGTTTCTAGATGCTGCATTACAATTTCTGCTAGGAGTCCTGACAGTGGTGATCCCATGGGTGTGCCTCTGATTTGTTGGTATATTTGTCCATCAAACTGAGAATAAGTAGTGAGGCGGAGGTTGATGATGTCCATGATTCTGGGTATTTCAATCTTAGCGTATTTGGTTAGGTCATGTGTGTTGCATTGTACTGCTGCTCTGGATTATTTCGCTAGTTCTAGGTCTATGGATGTAAAGAGTGCTGTGACATTGAATGAAAACACCCAGTTAAGTAGGGATTAACACCAGGATTAACACCAGCCAAACAATCAAGCAGTAAACAACAGCCTAATCAAGGAACTACCAAAGAGAACACAACTCCCCACCAACACTGACAGGGCAAGCTATGGTATATAAACAGAGCAAACTCCCCTCCCCTCTAACACTGAAGATGTTACCTAGTCAGGTAACAAAACATCTGCAAGAAAACAACCAAGCTCAGAGAACACAAAGGACTCCACAGTTCAACCCTGAGCTACATATATTCTCTTCTATTTATTCAGTTAAGAAACAGGATCTGGACTGGGGTATGTTGTCACCTATGGATCATCTTTAACAATACCTGCTAATAGAGATTTATAAGGGAATGTTTGTCATATTCCAGTTTTCTAAATCACTGTCCCCCCACCCCCACCCCATATTTTTCAGAATATATTTCTTTACCTATCTCCAGTAGGATTTTATAAAAATCCCTTTTGCTGTTCTCAGTTTCCAAATTGAAGTATATATTCAACTTCTGTTAAAATTATACTTTATATATAATGTAAGTATATAATTATGAATATAATTAATTTATATGCGGTTGAATACCTAATTTCAATATTACCTTCTTTTTCCAAAAAAATGTTTGGCCAACATATCCATCAAACCAAGAAAATTCATATTTGGCAACACAGTTGCACAACTGAGGATTGAATTTTGGCTCTTTCCCTTTCTTTCTATAAGCAGACCCATCTTCATTTCTCTCCTACATGCATGAGGGCCAATTACCTTGTCTTTAAACTAAAAATAAAATATTCCAGCACTGAATAAAGTATCTTAGTAATGTATTATTATTATTATTATTATTATTATTATTATTATTATTATTAAACATTTACTTGGCTAAAAACAAACCCATATTACTTGTTTTCTCTTAACAAGGAGTTAAAAATATGTGAGTGTGTGTACATTTATATAAAAACAACTATAGTTAGTAGTTGTCAAATACTAAGCCTCTATTCATTTTTTTATTCTTCTTTATATGCCAAAATTGTCTATCAGGAACATTTAATGTTCAGTTGCTTGCCCGATTACAGGGTTTGGGAGAAACTCCCCTTTCCTGGATCTCCACACTGGTCCCACTCCTTAATTGCATCTTCCTTCTGGTCTACAACAGTGAACAAGTATTCTTCCTTCTTGAATAATTCATATGGTAGTATCAGGGAAAAAACCTCATTAAACACGGGAGACAGACACACCATAAAACAGGTCACCTCAAAGTTCCAAGTTCTTCTAAGAGCTTTATTGAAAGTTAGTTCAGCAAGAAAGCAAAGTGCAATCAACAACATACAAGGTACTTACTTAGATACACATTGCAATGCGGACCGACAGGAGCAGGCCATCACTGGGACAGCCTAACCCGTGTGGGTGCAGACCCCCAAATTGCAATCCTTTTTATCCCTTAAAACCGCAAACCACAATCATGACTCTTAGGATTGTCATAACGTCCACAGAGCTAATTTCACTACACTTTCCTGTTCCCT